CCTCTAAACACAAGTTCAGCCCAAAACAGGCCCAGTCTTGGTTCTTTAACTGGCTGTGTTTTAGAGTTGGAGGAAACCCTGCTTCTTGCTCCCCTTAGACAGTGTTTCTCAACCTTGGCCACTTGAAGATGGGTGGGCTTCAACCCCCAGTATGCTGGCTGGGGAATTCTGGGAGTTGAAGTCCACCCATCTTCAAGTGGCCAAGGTTGAGAAACACTGTCTAAGGGGAGCAAGAAGCAGGGTTTCCTCCAACTCTAAAACACAGCCAGTTAAAGAACCAAGACTGGGCCTGTTTTGGGCTGAACTTGTGTTTAGAGGCACCTAAAGCCTGTGTGTCTCTGATCAGTGGGCTTGCTAGTAAAGCTCCTTGTAACCCAGACTAATTTCCCAGATGGCTTGACACTCCCTTATCCATACATTGTGTTGCAAACATTTCCAACCTTCAGGAAAACATGCCAGGCTTAAGTCCGTGCAAGATTTACACCAAGGACATGTTTTGGCTTGTCTGCTAATGTTAGGGACTGTGAAGGTCAACCGAGTCACAGGCAACTGCTTGCCCCCCCCTCCCCAAACAGGTTCTCTGGAGCTGTGGATGCTCCTTTGGGGAATCTCACTCACAGATTCTGCTGTCCTTGCTCGGCCTGTTAAGCTGGTTAAACCCACTTCTCCCCAGCTGCTGATCCAGCCACCCAACACACGCAGAAAAGGCTATTTTTGAGTTGAAGCGGCCCAGCCTCCAATTTGTCTAGTCGCACCCTACGGGAGCTTACGACCTTGTCTCTGTGCTCACATGGATGTTAGGAGGCCTTTGGGAAGAGCATAGGAGAAACATCAGTTTGGAACAAATGTAACCTGGTCTCAACTATTTTAATCAATGAATTTGGGGCCGGGATGTGTCATTCTATTAAAGATTATTACGCTACTTCAGAATTCCTTGTGTCTGCTCAAGGTGTCTCAGAAACAGGTCTCTGCAAAAGGTTTCAGTCTGAACCATTTCAAGCTTTGTGGAATGTCCTGCTTGAAAATTCTGGAAGTGGTCTGAGCTTTGCTGAAGCTTGGACACTTCTCAAATGCTCCAGAGCTGTTTGCGTGTTCGTTTGTTTAGATATCAAATTTGTCATCGCCCATCTCGTTGAAATGACTCTGGGTAGTTTATAAAGCAGTTAAAATCAATTAAAATTACAATCTATGATAATCTGAATAAATAGAAAATAAATAAATCCAAGGATAGATGTTAAAATTGGCAGTCACTCAGGGAGCGTCATCAAGGCACCAGC